AATGCAAAGAAGAGAGCTGGACTACATACATACAAGATACAGAACTTCCCAAACCGCGATGAGCGGTAACAATCGACGGCTAAAACTCGGGCACGGAAGCTCTACGAGAAGATGCTAACAGAATATGGCTGCTGTGTGATGGACGACGAAACGTATATAAAAGCCGATTTTAAGCAAATTCCGGGGTTGGAGTTTTTCACCGGCAAGAGCAAGTTCGATGTGGACGACAAATTTAAGAAGAAGAAAATGTCGAAGTTCGCCTCCAAATATCTCATTTGACAGGCCATCTGCTCTTGCGGACTGAGGAGTGAGCCTTTCATGACAAAGGGCACAGTAAATGGCGAGATCTACAAATCTGAGTGCCTCGAGAAGCGCCTTTTGCCGTTCTTGCAGCAGCACGACGAAGCTCCGCTATTTTGGCCAGATTTGGCATCATGCCACTATTCTAAAAGTGTCCTGGAGTGGTATGAGGCCAATTCTGTCCATTTTGTTCCAAAGGACATGAATCCGCTAAACTGTCCGGAGCTGCGCCCGGTGGAGCAGTACTGGGCAATAATGAAGCGGGAACTTCGGAAGAGCAAGAAGACAGTCAAAGACGAGAAGCACATGTTAAGAAAATGGAAAAAAAAACTGAGAAACTGGTACCGGATGACACTGTAAAGACTTTGATGGAGGGCATCAAGCGAAAATGCGTTCAATTTTACACGCAAGGCTCCATCGATTAACTTTTCTTTTGATTTTTGAAGTAAATATATGTATAAAACTACCCTAAAATTTTGGTTTGATTCTAAACATTATAAGAAAATTGGCATGACATTTTCGGTGTCGCAATAATTTCGTGTTCGCCCTTTAGTTCTTCAAATCTTCCTGGAGTTTAGAAGTTCTATAAGTCAAACAACATTTTGTGGGATACAAAGATGTTTTATCAACATATTTATTATCCTCCAAATTGTCTTGGAAATATTTACAGGTTAATCGAAATCTTGTTCGATTTCCACTTTTGAGCATTTTGAGTCTCCGTTCATAACATCATTTAAAATTATCAATTGTGTTTAAAAAAACCTTCGGGAAGCCCCTTAATGGCATTGGTTTGGATTATTAGGTTTTTCAAAATGCCCAGAGTTCAGATCTTTATTCTTTTTTATTATTATAGTCACTTTAACACTATTGGATCATTCGTGACTTATCCCGGTTAGATTTGAAATAAAGATAATGATGATTATCCCTAGAAAGATGAACTGAACGATATATGCATATGGTATAAAGGATTAAATGATTCTTCAAGACCAAATTATGGCCCCAATTATGTAAGTCGAGTCGAGCGTCGAGGACTATTTTGGTATTATGCAGCAGTCGACTCGACGCGACGCTGTCGAGTCGACGCGATGCTGTCGAGTAGCTCGACTGAATCAGTCACTCGACAGGTAGTGACTCATCTCTCACTCACATTCTGTCGAGTTGAGTTTGTTGTTATTTTCCCGCGTTAGCTTGCTTGGTGTGAGACATTGTAGTGTTTTTTCTACAAATTTTCTTAACGAGGTAAGAGTTTTAATTAAAACCCATTAAAACTACCAATTACATTACTGAAAAATATCAATTGTATAAAAAAAACACTACTTCCAGAAGTACGGTTAAAGATGACAACTGATTTACAGTAAAACGTTGCGCAGATGTTCGTTATCACCCAATGCTGCATTTTTCATTGAGATCTTCTTACCCTTCTTCCAAAGAAGGTTAACCCTTTCCTTCCCATGGTAGCACAGGTGATCCACAACTTTTTTGACTTCCTCATGTTTGTCAGCGTGCCATTAAATAGGCAATACTTATCTAACCCTATTCGTATGGCCATTATATTCGACCATACATGGTTTTTGGAATCCAACTGGTCAACTATTGAAATACAATTAAAATACTATTGATTTTAACCAAAAACTTTTTTTTATGGATTTGATATTTTAAGGTTATATGCAACATTTTTTATTCCAGCACTTTTCTTAGGAACGCATATTTGTATGTCAAAACTATCAAAAACCGTGTGGGAAGGAAAGGGTTAAGGTACACCGGGGCAAGTGAGAATAAGTAGTTATTAAGGATTGTTACTGCAGATTCCCGCCTGACCTCGTTCAGGGCAATTGAAGGTATGGGCTATACCTTCACATTCCCTGAACTAGGCCAAGCGAGAAATTGCGGTAACAATCCTTAATAACTACCTATTCTCACTTGCCCAGGTGTACCTTAACCTTCTGAAAGAAGGGTAAAAAGATCTCAATGAAAAATGCAGCATTGGGTGGTAAAGAACATATACGCAAACATTCATGCAAATCGGAAATCGTCATATTCAACCGATTTGCGATTTGGGCTAAAATGCTCAATGATCAAATCTGCTACACTAGTATTTACTTACTCATTGTCTGATAACGACATTGGATTTGAAGTATCGCGAATATTTCTACGCATTATAGAAATATTAACCAGCTCCTCTTGGTTATCCTCGTCTTCGTAGAAAAAATCAACACTTGTCCACATCGTTCTCTGGTAGTCAAAGCAGATTGCGACTAACTGGAAGACTACTGAGACTTATTTTAATCGTGGTTTCAATACAGGATAAAGAATCACAACTAGGACCAAAGATTCGACAACTTACGACAACAGTTGAAACACAAGCTAAATGCCATTAAAATACTTGAAATCCACCATGAAACCTCAACTTCGTTAACAACAAAAATTACACGAACTTCAATATTGTTACAAAAAAATCTTCAACGGAACAACAAAAACAAACTTGAATATTATTAATCATTAAAAATATTGATCGTTATCTGTCAAAAATGACATGACGCTAGCGTTTTATGGCCAATTCAATCTGATTCAGTCGACTTCCATAATGCCTATTTTTGCTACACTCGACAGCCACTCGACGGCATCGAGTGTCGAGTTACTCGACGAGAGTGTCGAGCTACTCGACGAGAGTGTCGAGTTACTCGACACTCGACGCTCAACTCGACTTACATAATTGGGGCCATAGGCCTACAAGGTTATTCTATACAAGATCTTTCCCGGTGCGATTTGGGTTTTCCCGTATTTTTTCCAAATACAAATATTTCCCGAATCCCGGGAATTTTCGGGAAGAACTGTCAGCTGTCTCCCGATTAGGTGAGAGCTATTTAAACATAAATTCCATTAATATCCAGACATGGTTTTACAGTTTTATCTCAATTATAGGTATGCAATTTCCGAAAATTTTGTTGTTACAGTGCGTGTTCAGGCGACAACCAATAAATCAATCGGCCTCTTTGAAATTAATTATCAAACAACTTAGAAAATCGGGTCATACCGTGCGCGATGACAAACAATGAGTGTTGAAAAGCAATGTCAAGGATTTTTCGTGAAATAGTGAAGCATTAAGCAATCGTGATAAGATATGCAGATTTGCAATTACAGTAACCCCTTAGTGCGGTGGATGGTACCGCATGTATAGAAAGGGTTACTGTACTAAAAAGTCAAAAATAGTGTGTTTCTAATTGTGCAATTTTTGAACTCTCAATAATTTTCAAGTTTGTTATGGCAAACATAAAATCCAGACATTTTCCCTGTGTAATCCTGCTACATAAATATACAATTATATACTCAGCGACCCACTGCTGGTTCGGGAGTCATAGATAAGGAAACGCTGGGCTAGACAATTCGCATAGATTTTCTCCAACAAATGAAATAATTTCTGGTTGCCGAGAATACTAACTCCCTTCTGTGAAATATTTCTCTGCATGAGTTGAATTTAGAAGCTATGAAACATATGACATAATGCATCAATCCAATCCAACGACCGTTGTCAAAAGCTACTCCATACGTCTGTTGATTTACAAGAATGCCATACGAAACGTCCGCAAAAACCACACGCAGCGGAGAAATCAGTTCCTGCCATCTGCTCCAATTACACTGCATAAAGGTAGCAGTAGGACCACAAAGGGCACACGCCATTCGCAGAAATCGTAGAACAAAACCCAGTCAGTCTATGGCGCCCTCTGCTCCTAAATCAGCTCCTAGCTAGCTACACACAACTTTCGGTATGAATTTCGTCCCGCTTCGCGACCGTCAATAAACCAATAAAAACCGCAGCGCTGCGCCATTCATTCAGCTTGTTTCTGATTCTTCCAACAGTTTGTGCAACCCCAACAAAAGCCACCGCAGCTTAACAATCGAACTGGAGGAAACCAATAATTATAACATTGTTTACTGGAATAATGCAGAAAATTCCTTCCAATTATTGTTATTCTGAAGTACTACAACAGTACACAGAGAGAGAGAGAGAGAGCAGAACAGGGGAACTTTCGCCAAACCTTTCCTCTTCTTTCGATCGACGGACGATAAATCCACACCGCGAGCACCGCAGAACAAAAGCAACCTCGCGAGAGTTAACAACTAAAATGCCAGAAAATAGATATCTTTTTGTCTGGCACTCTCTACAACACGAGACGGAAAGGTATTAATTTCAACCGTCTCGTTCCCGAAACGCAGAACAAGGAAGTAAAAGGAAAAAAAAATCCAGAGGGTGGAATATGGAAATTCGTTTCGTTCCGTATGGGTAATGAAAGCGTAGTCGTCGCCGGTCGTTTCAGGTTAGTTGGGGGTAACTAAACCATACTGGAACATATGATCACTAGTGGAACAAAAAACCGTTGAAAAACTCGCGCAGCCGTGACCGAATAGCTTTATGGAAGAAACGGCTGCACCCCCACATAGCGCTGAGTGATGTACTGTTGCAGCAGAAGAAATGCAGGCTTTGCAGGAAGATCAGGCATTAGAAGGAAGCAAGTAGTCGAACGTCTTCCTCGTTCAAAGGAAGAGAACCAATATTTCACGCATCAGGGAGGAAAGCCGTCATCGTGCTCAAATTGGAAGTGTTTTTCTGGTTAATTATTGACGTTACGTTTCATAATTTTCTGTCTTTCGGTGAGTTGCATACTGTGAGGCAAGGGAAGAGGAATAATGAGAATGCTCACCTGTGATTCGTTGTTGCCGCTTCGCTCGGTTGGCCGACGCTGGGAAGGACGAGCTACTGTTACTGCTGGTGGCGGTGGTGGTGGAGGTGGTCACTGCAGCTGTAGCGGTGAGGGCAGAGGTCTCGCTGCGTAGAACCAGAGGATATGTCCTAACCGTATCGAAACTACAGTCTGATTCGGAGTCTGATCCAGAAACGGAGGCAGGTAAGCCCATGATCGATCGCTGATAGACGTTGCCATTTTCCCGCTCGGCACGCTGATCCAGCAAATCCTCGGAGGCTGTGGAGCTTGGTGGCATTACGTGGGCCTCTCGCGATATGGTCATCATTGCGGTGAAACAAGTCGGAACCAAAGTCGGCGGAACACGTTCCCACTGATACTTCTCGTGGTTCTTCAGCGGTTGACCGGCGCCAAAGTCGAAGCCCCACTTTTTGCTGAGGGCTTCGGTGTGAGCAGCCAGCTCGCGATCGATGAAACTGGAATGATGGAATTTGGAGATTTCGGTAAAATTAGTTCTCTGAGAAGTAAAGATGATTTGTGTAATGACTGTAATATATTTAAGTAGAAGATAGTAAAATCGATCCATGTAGGTAGGTCCAGTTTAGCATGACCATCACCATGATTGACCGCTTACGATTGCTGCTTGGTTAGAGCAAAGATCAGCTGTAATCACACAGATAACCAATATGGTTCTTGGGAGTACCGTTCATCATCTGTATTTGCTGATGATTTCGTGTATTTTCTCCAATACCACAGGCAATTTCTCTTACATATAATGTAAGATTGGATTTATTACATCCTCTGCATATGTTTCATACAACAAATATAATGCCAGAACTTTTTATTGAACATGTTGAACAGGTATTGGTGGTTGGTGGTAATTAATCATGCAATTGATTCGAGAAAAAAAATTAAATTAAAAATGAATACAAAATATATTTACTAAGTTCACAGGGTAAATTTTGTTTATCAATCTTTAGTTGTGTGAAAGATTTAGCTTGAACAAAATGGTTAGTTTTGACCTGATTATTAAAAGAAACATTAACATACATAAAATTTAAAACATATTTAAATTATACAAACAAGATTATTTTCCTGGTGGACTTATGAAATTCCTGGTTTTTTCCCGGTTTTTCCAGGTGAAAATAAATTCCCGACTTTTTTCCCGGTTTTCCTGGTTCACTTGCCACCCTGCGCTGAAACCAAGACTTGTTGTTTGCTGCGGAGAAGCAAGTAATGTCTGAAATTTATAGATCTACGAACCTTGAGTTTTACGTTCCTAAAATTAATAAGTGTGATATGATAAAGGACTCTACAAGGAAACACCTCAAAGCTGCTATCAATTTATTTGTAAATCCGTTTAAATTTTCCACGATTTTTTAATAATTAAAACCCTATTCGATTTAGTCTTGCTGCAACCAAAATGATCTTATTGAAGCACAATGTTGATCACAACATGATTTTAAAATCCGATAAATTGATTTTATAAACAACCCTGGTCTATTAAACATTCTGACAAACCACTGAAATATATTGAACCCTCTTAACTCTTTTTCCCGCCCACGATTACTCGAGCACCATGATTTTTTTTTATACATTGTGTGCTATAACTTGTTGAAATTACATGCTATTTTTGTAACACTATTGCAACACAGTCTGTACCAGTTCTTCTGTTATCGGAAAGAAAATCTAGGTCAATCAATAATTTTGTATACATTTTGTATACAGATTTATGCATAAATTTTTAACAGTTCTCTAAAATCTCGACGTGCAGCCAATTTTTAATTTTTAATCTATATATATAATGAATTTCAGTCTGTCGTATCCCTCTCCCTTGTAAACTCGGAAACTACTGAACCGATCGGCGTGAAAATTTGTATGCAGGAGTTTTTGGGGCCGGGAAAGGTTCTTATGATGATTTGAGACCCCTCCTCTGTAAGAGGGGGCTTCCATACAAATGCAGGTACTCAGCGCTGCAGTTTTTAGAAATGACTCTTCCTCTGAATTATTCTCATTGGCCATGTAGAACCTTTTGAAATGTTCGTCTAGACATCTCAAACTTTCACCCATATTTCGCGTAGGAAACGGATGTCCCATGCATTTTTTTATTTGTATGGAAAATCCGCTTTGAACGAAATAGGGAATAGGGGTGTTTAACTTTGTGGTAGAAAACTTAATAGTAACGAGACCAATTTCAACTCGATGCGGTTATTCAAGCCACCCTTAGCCCAGTTTTAAATGTTCCAATTCGACATTCAACTCAATCGAACGACCAGAAAGTTGTTTGATGTCCAACTTATTCTATTCGCCATTAAGTCACTTGAACGTCGACTACCAGATTGGGGGTGAGTTGAATTCAACTCACTTGCCTAGTCTAAACCCAGAAGTTTGAAAAAGCGTACATACCTAATCACTTACGTACAAACTTTCAAGAAACGCCAGCAAAAATGATTATTACTCTGAAAAAAATACTCACTTCTTCGATTCCTGCTTGTCAACCGGACCGAAAAGGTCCCTCTTGACTCTGGCCACGGATATACTGCTGGAAAGCGGCTTCCGGACAGTGGCCAGAGTTCGTAGCTCCGACATCGCCATCGGATTACACACTTTGGCACTCATGTTTGCTTCTGAATCTTCTCGAAAAGTCAAATTGGAATTGTGTTACTGTTTGTAATAATTGATTCCCCTTTCCGAGGTGTGCGTACAAAATTCACACTCTAATTTATTTTCTTATTTTGCTCCCACTTGTCTTCGCAACCGAGGGTCGGAAAAATAAAAATATTTTGATGCGATACACACCGAACTCGACACAAAGCAAGGGAGTTGATTCGCTTCTTCGCTCACTCGTTTGCTGACGAACACCACCAACTAGGCTTCGTGTATTTATATTTATGTTTGAGGTTATGTTCGTTGCAGGAGAAAATCACAGATTTTCGTTCACAAAACTCCGTTTTCCATATAATTTGTCGAACCAGCAACTAGAATTCATGCATCCACACTTGTTACGAATAGTTTTCGTCAATTCAAAACCCTTTTTCGGCCGAATTTATACCAAAATATAATTACTCTCGAACGTGACGTCACTTTTTTGTCACTGCTGTAACCTCTAGTAGATTGTATTTACGCAACAAAATCTCGATATTTTGCCAAGAATTTCACTTTATCCACGTTCAGAACGTCACTTCACACTATAAGTCACTGGAAAAATCGCATTTCCAAACTCCAAAACAGCGAACAATCGCCCAAATTTTCCGGGAACAATCCACTCCAATTTGCACAACACTACTCTTGGAAACAAGGTCGATACCGTCGCAGTATGAACGGGAGAAACCGGCGAACACCTTCGACTCAACTGACGCTTCCGATGAGACTATTGCCGAGGTACAGTTGGAATTCAGCTAGAAGGCAAACCGATCGACGGCGACCGAGACGGCTAATACATAGGTGTAACAGTCGGAAGAAGTGTTAGTTTGTTTACTTAAATGAACCATGCCCATTTTGTTATGGCATGTTTGCTATACGAAATGCGCCTCGTGTTTATTAGCGAATTTCACATCAAAGATTGATTAATTGAGTAGGAAATCAGTTTGGCACGGCATTTGTGACCAGCATACACCTTCCGGTAGTATGAAACAGGTCAAAAACTGTTCAAATCCGCAGATAAAATTTTTGTTTTGAATTTCTGTATAGCAAAATAGTGAACTTTTCGTGAACATTAACGGCAAAGAACTCACCAACACTGGGAGACTGTGAGTTCCTGCCCACCTGTTCATTTTCCATCGTGGACGGCGACCGAGACCGAGACGGCTAATACATAGGTGTAACAGTCGGAAGAAGTGTTAGTTTGTTTACTTAAATGAACCATGCCCATTTTGTTATGGCATGTTTGCTATACGAAATGCGCCTCGTGTTTATTAGCGAATTTCACATCAAAGATTGATTAATTGAGTAGGAAATCAGTTTGGCACGGCATTTGTGACCAGCATACACCTTCCGGTAGTATGAAACAGGTCAAAAACTGTTCAAATCCGCAGATAAAATTTTTGTTTTGAATTTCTGTATAGCAAAATAGTGAACTTTTCGTGAACATTAACGGCAAAGAACTCACCAACACTGGGAGACTGTGAGTTCCTGCCCACCTGTTCATTTTCCATCGTGGACCGAGACCGAGACGGCTAATACATAGGTGTAACAGTCGGAAGAAGTGTTAGTTTGTTTACTTAAATGAACCATGCCCATTTTGTTATGGCATGTTTGCTATACGAAATGCGCCTCGTGTTTATTAGCGAATTTCACATCAAAGATTGATTAATTGAGTAGGAAATCAGTTTGGCACGGCATTTGTGACCAGCATACACCTTCCGGTAGTATGAAACAGGTCAAAAACTGTTCAAATCCGCAGATAAAATTTTTGTTTTGAATTTCTGTATAGCAAAATAGTGAACTTTTCGTGAACATTAACGGCAAAGAACTCACCAACACTGGGAGACTGTGAGTTCCTGCCCACCTGTTCATTTTCCATCGTGGACGGCGACTGGTGACACAGCTACATTTACAACTCACCCACCCCACCACAAAGTATTCGTTCGCATAGAAAAACAACGGTCTGCCTAGGGGAGCTCCAATGTAAAATGTATGCTATTCCGAACAAAACTACACCAGTGCTATGCTTCCATACACCCCTCAGCGACTCTTCGTATGTGTGTGGTTGTGTTTAAATGATTTAAATCGCCCTCTGTTCGACTGCCCATTGAAGGCAAACACACACCAGTCTGGCAACGGGACATTCTGCTTCGATGGAAGGCTGTGTCTGTGTCTGTCTGGTCGGTAAACACGGTAAACATCGAGACCGATCTTCTTCTTGTGGTTCGTTGTTGTGTTGCTGGCGCTGCAGCATGATCGCCACCTCGCCAGGCACTCTTCGATGGCGTAGACGGGCGTGGATCGGCTTTCGACCCTAGAGAGGGTCTAGTATAAGAGAGGAGCGGACTGGCTGGTTTTAAGCCAAACAAACTGTCAAAGCCAGAGCCAATCGAGCAGCGCCTATCTATGCTACCTACCTATCTATGCCAGTGTTGCTAGAAATCACCTAGGCATAGGCTGCCAAGGCAGTTTGTTTTGAATCCACTCCTCTCTTATACTAGACCCTCTCTATTCGGCCCTTTCGTTCGATTCGAGGAAAGCGAGGAAAGCGAAGGATTTAAATCGCCTGGCTTGTGCTCGTCGGATGTTGCACAATGTATAGTAGAACAATGATATATGCACGGGGAAAGTATTGTAATAATAGTTCGTCGATGAATATAATAAACAAATTATGCAGCGCTGCTCGATGTGAATATTAAATGTTGTAATTTTGTAGCACATTTATGAATTCTCGATAACATTTTGAAGAGGTCCCATATCCATTTGTCGATCAAAAAATCTATTAACATGATTCACTAATCTTCGAACTTTTGATTGAATGCTGATGCAAACCCACCGCTCAGTTCGCGATAGAAATTATTGAACGGATCAACACAATCAAGGAGGATTAGTGTGCACATTAGTGGTGAGAGGACTCCCAGCCTTTACTGCGAAAGATGAGCTGTCCCCCTTCCAAGTGATTTTTCTTTTTGCAAGCATAGTATGAATTCATTTGACGATGTGCACGTCGAAGTTCCTTCTCTTCATTGCGTCAAAGCTTCTTCAATATCCACGAAAGAACAAAGTGCGATTTCTTTAACTGAAAGTGATTTCTCGATTTTAAATACCAAAGAATGGAGAGCAGTAACTGTTGATTTTTCAGATTGATACGCAAACTGGAAATAAGATAATGGATGAGTTAACATTCTTCATCTTCTTCGCATTTCAAGCTTATTGCGTATCGCATATTAGCTTATTGCGTGCTCTCAACTTAGTGTTCTAGATGCACTTCTCCAGTTATTAATTGAGAGCTTTCGATGCCTTAGTATAATTGTGTGGCAAGTACAATCATACTTTATGCCCAGGGAAGTTGAGAAATTTTCCAACCCGAAAAATTCCTAGACCGGACCGGGAATCAAACCCAGCAACCTCCAGCATGGTTTTGCTTTGTAGCTATGCCTTTACTGACTGAGCTAAGGGAGGTGTTAACATGTAAGTTGAATTGATGAAGTCATTCAACACCGTTTCCAAAGTCTTCAGTAAAATTGATGCGAAACTAATGGGCCTAAATGCTTCTGACTGCATTTTATCATGCTTCCCATTTTTCGGTATGACTATAACTCTTAAGGGACACATTAGATCCGTTTGCGTTGCTTTGACGTACATTTGACAGTTAGACAATAGATTTAGCTGCCACTTTTCCGCAACGTGTCCGATCCGGATCTAATGTGCGTGGGCTTTTATCAATCTCCATTTTCATGTAGCTTAATTTTAAACTTGTCCTAAAAATCGTAGTTAGAGCGAATCTTCCATCCACATCCGCAGATTTAAAAGGCTGAAAAGATCACACAGCATTCTCCACTCTATCAGTTGTGAAAATTTCAGCTATATCTAGTGCGTTTTTCTGATCTCTGAGACACTGGAAAGGTCTCCTTAGAACATCTTTCACCAACAGAATCAGAATTTGCCGGTTCCACGACTATATGTTTATATTTTCACACATTTGAATCCAAGACTGCCTCTTAGATTTCCGTATTTCTTCAGATAGGATTATCTTATCAGAAGAGATTTTCACCTTATTGAACATCTTACGTGAAACTTTCCTAAGGCGTTCCAATTTCAAACTCCAACACGGCACATCCCTGTTAGAAGCCGACCGTTTGATAGGACAGCTGATGTTGTAGGAATTTATAATTCTTTCGTTTACCTTTTGTGAAACTGATTCTAATTGTTATATTGAATCAATCTTTACGTCATTTGTAAATATATCTGAATCTAAGCACTGATCCCAGCTTGTTTTCCTTGGATCTCTAAATGCAGAAGGTTGTTTATTACCTCCACCCCATTCAAACATAACGACACTTAGGAAGAGAAGCAATGACGATGGCTCCGCACCATGTGTTTATGGGTTCGATTTGTATAATTTAGGTGCTGTGGCCAATTTTCTTAATTTAGGTTGCTATTTAGCATATTGCAAATTCATCACCTTAACAAAGTCATGCGATTTGTGCACCCTTCCTGGACAAAACCACGCCAACTCTGATCGCCCATGATAGTGTGCAAGCAATGAAAGCAATATAAACGAGAAAGCATCGAAAAACACGTTTGCGCAACCGCGTGGTGTTGTTTCGTTCCCTTTGGCTTTGGATGGCGTGTAGAATTCAAATACGAATCCCTCGAATCCTACTAGAGAGCAAACCACGCTTTGATGCCTCTTCTTTTTATCTTGACCAAAAAAAAAACAAGAAACCTGTCGAGTCAACAGCTAAACCGTCCTACCTTTAGTAGTCTTCTTTGTGGTTTCTCGATTTTGAAAGTCTCTTGTTATGAAAATTTAAAGCGACGACAATACACATCATCTAACTTAGGCCAATCCGCTGCCTTCATCACGTTGAATTCTTTCTTCTATTTTATTAATCTTATTTACGCGTTCCCAGCTCACGTTAGGATTCTACAACGCATGTCCAAGTTTGAATAGAGAGTGTTCTTTTTGGTTTCGTCTGACTCATCTTTGCTATGCGACTACTTCTTCGATTTTTCTGAGCTCCTTTGTTGTTGAATTTTTCTGATAACGTTTAGCCTGCGTCGACAAGTCGCTTCATGTCCATTTCGAATCGTGTCTCTTTTGGACGTGACGCGAGTTGAAGCTTGCAACAGCGAAACGGATGAACCGATTAAGAGGCTTTAAGTAGGATGTACCCGCGGAAGGATCGATGAATGATAAATTAATTTTTAGAATGGTGATTGCCATCCCATCCTGACAATCGGTATATTGAAAAATAGTTCATTACTAACTTTTACTATACGAAATCCTAGCAGGATACCACCTACGACGTTGGATCGTAGTTGGTTATCGCTCACAGGTGGGAGTGCCAATGATTGTCATTTTTTATCACTCCTAGAACATAAATTTCCAAGCGAATCTATCATACACCAGACGGGATCGAAATCAACCATCTGATAGGGATCTCAATCTTCGATCCTTGCTCAAGTAAGAGACCCACAAGATCGATGAAGCCCTTCAAGTGCCGGGACAGAAAGGCACATATTGAAGATGGAACAACATGGTACAGCCTGAGTCCTTCGATTGTGTCAGCTGATTAATGAACTACATGCATTCAAGTGCACGTCGTCGTCGTCATCGTCAGCCTACTGCGATCACGAGTGGGGCGAAGAGGATAAACGATATCTGATTTCTGATCATGATGTAAGTATCGCTGTAAAATATACATCGTATCGAAGG